GCACTCTCTGACCCCCTAAATCGAATTTTGTCTCCTTACCCTCTTACCAGTTCATAGCCTACTTGTCGTGCGTTTTAAGTCCATTCCTTCTCTGCATAGAACTGCACCAACAAGTCATTCATGCCTTAAAGTGCTCAGCAGCCGTCAGGCATGCGAATCGCTTAACTATCTTCGTGAAATTCCCCCCTGATTTCAATTTTACACGAAGAGGTCTTTCGATAGAACGTTTTTATCAATTCCATTTTGAGGCCGTGAAACGATATTGAGCCTCCGTGAAATTCCCGTGCAGCTTTTCACTGCCTCTCGAAGGGTTTTGTTGCCGTGATACGGGAACGTGGGCTACTTTCGCACTTAAGTAATGCCATTTACTTCCAGTTTCTGCAATCCTCTAACATTTGACGTACTGAGATTTTCGACTTTGCCTGACCGAGTTCGCGTCACATGACCTAGATCGACAATTTTAACATGTTACCTTGAATATCTTCAGATTCCTAGAATTTAGGCCCTATTTCACCGCCATTTTCGTATTCTTATAGAGATCTGTCGTGGTGACTTCACTTTTCTGGCTATGCCCCGAGATCGCCCTTCGGAGAAATTCACTTACCATCCGTTGTCAACCAGTAACACTTTCACGCGTGACATTTCCCGCCCTCTGCCTCCGAACGACCCTCCCACTTCCCTAGCGCGCAGTTGTCTCGCCCAGGACACTCCACCAACTAATCAGAAGGCGGGAAGTACCACTGTCACGCAGTCAACCTCCAGTGAACGCACGGAGTCTGACTCCAACCCCAGGGTTCCCTCATCGTCTGCTCCACTTCAAGCCTCCCTCTCCACTGTTGTTGTGTTTCCCCTTCACCGGCGTGTGGATGCGGGAGAGGAGGAGAAGGCCTCCCTAATGGGGACTTGGAGTGAGCCGAATAAGACTGCTGTCCGAATCCTGCGCACCGAGCAGCCCTTCCGGGCAAATATCTCCACCGGGCGAGCACGCGGGTTTTCGCCATTGACAGTGCCTCAGGAACATCCGGTCTCGGGTTCTCACCAAAACCTGACCAGCAAACAACGTAATATAACCACCCTGAACGGCAGCAACATTGCTGACGACCGCGGTGTCATTGGACGCACTCGATATCGAATCACATCCGCCTCTTCTGTCAGCACCACCAGTTTGGTTGAGAGTAGCACCGCTGCCCCGGCAGCCACCACCTCTCGGCAGCTGGCTCAGCTACAAGAATACTCTCGACGTATCGCCAAAATCACGAGATCGCATGAGGCACGTTTCTCTTCATCCTCCGCGGAGAGCCAGGAGCGCCGTCGATACACCGGTCTGCCAGTCGGCAGTCGGATACACACCGATAGCGGTCATGCGAGCTCGCCGACCACCACCACTACAACGACCACGGACGCGTCTTCTGTCCTCTCAGCCATGGACCGATCAGATCAGCTGTTGCTGAATCAGCGCCAGCAGGCTTTGAGGAATCTCAGCCTGGCCGATATACTTCATCCCAGGCAACAGAGTGCTCCTGCCGCAGAAGTGGTGGGAACTACTGATAGCAGTGGAAGTAGCAGACAGAATTTCTGCGTGAGTGACTGTCGTCTCTTTACTGTTTGATAGTTTATTTGGGTGGCGGAGACACGACAGAAAAGTACAGATCCATGCCTACTCTACTGTTAGCTTTTTGAGACAGCTCTTTGTCTGAGCTATCCAAGCCGCTCTATTCACCAGAGATCACGCTTCTTGTTTTCGGTCATATCACCACCTTAGAGAGTCAAATTATCACAAACTCTTATTCTTTTTAAGGCTGGCTGAGTCCAGATGGGTAAATGAGGCAGCGTTGACTTTCGTCATAAAAATTCTTGGCCAGATACGCGTAAGATGACGCTGGACATCAGGCCTCCAGTCGGCATTTCTATCATCGTCTCAGTACCTACTTTACCTATCTAGGTTCTCCGCCCTTTATACCGTTTCAGCTGTACGATACCTAGTGGGACGCTTCAGCAATGCATGATTTCCAAAACACTCTTCCGACATTTGATTGCATACGAAAAGCTTAGTAGGGCAACTTTTGCGAGTCCTGCAATCACTTGACATCTGTTGTTCACTAACACTTGTTCGTCTATTAGGCGGGCAATTTCTTCTCTGATTTTTTTACTTGCATAAGTACAGGTGTGAGGGGATTTTCATGTGCAACACAAGTCGCTACTAAGATCAGGCATTATTTTAACGCCACCATTGAATAATAAAGAGCTGGTAGCAGGTTGCCCCTTCAGACGATCAGAGTTGACGTAGCTGAGGTGGGTGGAGAATATGCGAACTCGGGAGGGAATACTGCTTTTCATTTACATCGATTGTTGCCTAAAGAGACAGCATGGTGCCCACCGTTTCATTTTGAATGCCAGTTGAACAAGTAATGAAAGTACTGAAATCCATACGCACTTCCAACACGCCAGGTACAGGGTCCGTCGACTATTTTTTATTGGTAGGCACTCTGGCGTGGTTGGGGCAATGTGGGCGACAGTTCGTTTGTCGAGACTTGTGCAATATCAACCCCACGCTTTCTTTCCATCACTCATCTTGCCCCGACGCCACGACAAGGTCAAGTCGTCTGGAAATGATAGTGCTCTCAGTGGCTCACGCCGAATGAGGCCTCCGTCTACGCATACGATAGACACGCCGGTACCTCTACTGACATGGGCCAGATCCAACACACTCATAAAGATCAACTTGAGGAGTAAGCATTGTGGCGTGGTCCTGCGTCCTGATGGCAACCTATCGACTTAGCATGGTCGCTGCAGCGCCAAGGTAGTTCTAAAGCTCTTCTGCGTTTTTGTATTGGGCGGCGGCGGGGGGGGGGAGGAGGTTGCGCAGGGCCAGTTACCCTCTTCCCTCACCCATTACATACGAGTGCCAGGCCTGAATTAAGCAGGCTGGGAATTAGATGGGGGTGCAGTGGCTGACGTGACACAAAGTCCTTCTTCTGTCACATGCCAACTGTGTGTTTGACTCATGTGCGAGTCTGACGCACTAGCGCCGCCCGTTTATTCGGTACTCTCGACTCTGTCATGCTTAGTTCTTCCCTGAACATTCATGAAGATGTTTGGCCATCAGTTGAAAACGAGTGATGCAACTTTTTCGTTTGCCCCATGTGAACATTCTCCTGAAATCGAAAGATGGGTCTACAACACACGTCCTTTTCCATGGCTGACTGTCTTATTCATCTCATCTGTATACAACGCTGTATGTCCGCACAAATTTTCTCGAGATCTTTGAACTTCCAGACTTCAACAAGCAATTTTGGCATGTCAAATTACGCGTAGTTGGCCGTTAAAGTGATCATTTACGTCGCTGCATCATTCACATGCGTTAATCTATTTGCGTTATCTACTGTCTGTGCTCAAACAAAAGGAATCACACCGGTTTGTCAAAAATTCAGAACGATAAGAATTCCAGAAAAGTGGAGTTGAGATATTTTCGTTATTAATATTGACCAAACGGTGAAAAACTCGGCTCCTCCGTTGGATTCGGACCCACGCAGTAAGGGGAAGGCTTTAGTACAGCCAACGCTTTAACCACTTGAGCTACGAAGCCCCGTCGGACGACGCGAATTTAGTCACGTCTATGAATATTTTCGTAAGTAAATTCTGTACTCTTGCTGATCAGGCGTCCGTCGTGCGGCCTCCCCACCTTTGGAAGATTCTGTCTTACAGTCCGATTTCCCACACAAAGTATGTTGCAGTCGCTCTGGCAAGACCATCTGTTTGCCATTTAAAACCCGCTCGTCCCGATTTACCGAATGATGCTGCTTGTTTTTGCCGCAACGGCACCAATCACATGTGGACAAATATGCATTCATGCGAGCTGAATTGTTCTGTTTCATCCCGCCCACGATTAAATACCCTTGGCTATTAGAAAATTATTTTGGGGCCGTTATACCAGTTTGGCACTCATGTTTGCAAACAAGCGGAATTGTTTGACTGCACACAAGCCCCCACTTTTCCTCCATTCAAAACATTCTGCCGGCTGCCATCTTTTCGCGCATATGGTCGCTTGATTTGCCAGTGGTTCTTATGAATGTCAATGTCAGGTAGGCGGTCTGCACACGTGGCTGTCGTTTTGTCTACGCGGTGCGTTTGCTGTGGGGAATCCGACTTTCGAGTCCTACCATTTTTACATGCAAGATTTGGCCTACGCCTTCGGGTCCCTTGTACAAAAACTTGTTCAGAAGAAAGGTTGCTTTGACAAGGCGTGTTCAGTTTCCCAGAAGTTTTTGAAGATAGGCAAGGTCTAATTTAGTTAACTCTAGCTGACACAACGTGATACAGTTGCTTATCATTTTACGTTTTTGATCTTTTTCCCAACCTTCGTGGCTGAAATGCCGGAAGCAGATTAAGTTATTCGAACTCGCTGTGTGACTGACTTAGGAAGCAATCATGAAACTTCAACTTGCTCGTGAAGTTGGCACGACCCCTCCTCTGCATATTGAGGGCATCTAGTTCTCACCCAATACTGGTGGCGAGACATCTTCCCATAGACGGTTATTCGGTGAAATATGCCATTATCTAGTTAGTTGAGTCCTCTTTATGTACGTAGCTGGGGCGTGCAATCTAGAAGAACACTCTTGTACTTCATGCATTTTATCCGATACTGGCCTCATATAGTAAACAGTCCGCAGGGTTGTAATTTTGGTCAATTACTTTGGTTGGGCTTCATATTACCCACCGTCTGGTTTTCAGAAAACTGACACAAAATCCGAGTTACCTGTGGGACAGAAACCTTCTTGCACATTTACTGATTCTTGCGTTCGAGTTTCCACCGCTTAGCCTCTCGTATGATATGGGAGTTTTGTATGACGCTTGCGATAAAAGTTAGCTGAAAAGTCACGGCCTTTAGTTTTATTCAAATAAACGATAATTTATTGTCATGAAGGAGCAAGCCATATCACAGCTATATTGGGCATCTTCGTGTCTGTACTTGCTTCACTATTCTCTTGAGACGGTTCATTCCTGTGGTTCACTTCAGTGCTTCATGCTCGATTGGGTCCTGTCAAATATCACTTTGCTTCCTTTGTATGCCAACGTTGCTTACTACTCACAGTCGGACATTTGTTGTTACTGGTGCTTGCGTGTGTGTTGGGGTCCTCAGGGCGAGCCGCGCGGCAGATTGTCTGGTTAGGTTGACTCCCGGCACGGGCCTGACAGAGCCCGATTGAGACCAAAACTACTGTCGTAGATGCGCGCGTGGCACGCCATGCACGTAGAACTTCACGACGCGTCAGGTACTGTGCCCAGTCTCAACACCAGTCGCCCCACCTGGCTCAGACAGTCGACAGGTGCGTTGAAGAAGGAAGAGAGCAGGTAAGGCTGTTACTGGAGAATCCGTCCTCACCGCAAATCAGCGCCTTCCTAACGAAGAACTCTGGCGAGCCTGCAACAGTCACCAAACGCCAAGAGTTGTGGCTTGAGAGGCTGCCAACTGACGGAACAACTCAGTCCTTCGCAGAGCTGCGAGTCAGCCTGCGATGGGAATTCAAACGCCTGCAAATCGACCCCGAGACCTGTGAAGATTTGTGCAGGACCGGCAGGCCTGGCGCGCCACTGTAGGAAATAGGACAGCGATCTGCGAAACTAGTCGAGATCAAGTGGCAAAGACCAGGCAGGATGCGCAAAAAGTCGAAAGCAACAAATCATCTTCGCAAACATCTATCCCTTGCCGTCACGCCCGCGTTACCAACTCACATTCAGGGATTGAGCTTGTCAGACACCTCCGGATATGTCCCAATGGCAACCTGGCCATCTCAACTCTTATGACATAAAGCGCCACCGCCATAAACAGCGTGACCGAAGTCAGCCCTTGGAGGTTCCATTACTAAAATAATGCTAGTCAGTTCCAGCTCGCAGTGACTGTATAAGACAGCTTCAATCGCATCGTAAAGGCTGTAAGGACACGGTGCATAAATTCGATCACCCACGGCACAACTGTCGCCAGCACCACTTCTACCGCTATCACAAGTACGAAGTCACCATCACACTAAGATGTAGTTATGTCGCCCCACCTGATAGACACAATACTGTTGGAGCTAGGGTTGGGGCAACTATTTCTCAACCACCCAAAGTACAACCGCGCATTCCCAGTAGCTTTTTCTTTTGCATACAACAACTTGACCTCGCCGCCCGTGCGCTCCCCGGCCCCACCTATAAAAGCTCCCATTACCACCGGTCCCGTATTACAGGTGGCTGGGGTTTGTTTGCTTCAGGTGGGGCTACATAACCATCTCTGACCACCGCCATCACCACCAAACACTACAGAACGAGCACCTCTTGTAATAATTGCACTCCACAGACACGCATAAACATCCATCCCCCAAGATGGGCTGTTTTGCAGGTTCACAGAACCAAAGGAGGCTCAAGCTAGCAAGAAATTACAGGACTCCCCTGCGCCCACGCGCGTCATTGACTACTATAATGAAGCTGGCGCGCTTGATCTTATCACGGTACTTTATCAGTCATTTCTCGGGTGGAAGCCAATAGACGGGGTAACTCATTTCTCTTCAGGGCTGAGGATCAGGCTTCGACGGGTCTCCCTAGTGAGACTTATGACATCCTCATGCATGT